ATTTGCTTTTTTCATGATTTTATGTTACCCCTCAAATTGAATTTTCCTAAGAAGCAGACATTGATGATGGTTTTTCTATTTGCTTTCTGGAGTTTTCTCTGTATTCACATCTGTTTTGTGATGTCACCGTGTTTGGAAGCTGGTGCACAATGTTGCTTTGAGTAGAAAATTTAAAGTATACAATGACACATTTAGAATACTGACCGACAATAATCGTTTTACATCATTCCTACAGAGTGAAAGCTTGCTAAATCCATCCCCAAAGACCTTGTTCCAGCAGAAGTTACAAGAACTAAGTGAATCTGTATATGCCTCAAATAAGAAGGCTCCTCTAGGCAGATCATGTGTCCAACGTTCTGAACTCCCCCCATTGTGTAATGAGAAAACTACATTTGGCGTAAAAACAGCAAAAGGTATGTATAACATTAAATAAGTCAAAAGCTAATAAAACAACAAGAAAGTTGGTTTAACCTCCTAAGACCGAAACTCATGGCATGCATTTTTAATTTCTCTTTGCTATTTGAGCTATTTGGGACCTGATGAATGTAAAAACAAAGGATTACGTGATTTTCTTTTATTTTTTTACCTGAGTTTTGTTTCTAAGAAAAATGTGATCCACATATGAAGACATTCACTTGAAATTTTGATAGAACAGTGGCAGTATAATGTCCTTGTAAGTGGATATCGGGCTCTTGTAGGGCAAAATTTAGTATTTTGGTCTAGACAACCCAAAATGTGATGTCCACATATGTGGACACCAGGTCCCAGGAGGCTAAGTTTGTAATGGTTGTGTGCTGTCATTGAAACATTTTAAAACTTTTACATTTTTTGTTTTACATTATAAGTTTTCTTATATTTATATATTTTTCTTATATTTCTTTATATATTTTCTGACTATCTCCCGTTCCTTTCATCAAGGTTTGGGTGTGCGTGAGATTATTAACCCTGCAAAAACAGCACAGGAGGTAGAGAGGGAAGCTGAGGTGGCACATGATGCTTACATCCGTAGCCGTAATGCCTATTTTGTTGGTAAGAATGAAGAAAATCATACTATTGATGCTGTCTTTACTCTTTCCACTAACGGTCTATTTCTGGAATTCATTTCATCATTTTCACCACAGTGTGATTATCTTACTTTATTCCAGGTGAACAAATTAATAGAAATTATGACAGGACTCGTTACAGTAAAGACAGCAGGTTTGGGATCCTCACACCTCATTTCAACGATGGCCGTAATCTTGGCAAAACTCTTCATTGGCTGGGTGAATCACAGAAGTAAGCACCGAAATAAAGTGGCCATGCAGCAAATTCTTTTGTTTTTCCTTAACACTGCATATCTGCTCCTTGTCCTTCTAATTTAAAAAGTGAAAACCAACTCAAATTGTTCATATTTTTTTCTTAGGTTTTACAATCCAGCTGCCTGGAAGAGATCTGGGAACAGAGAGAAGATAGCACAACAAATGGGCAAAACCATCGTCAAGTACTTTTATTTTTTATTTTTTTTATTTTTTTAACTGTCTGTAATGAAACATTTGAGACCTGTAATTATCTCACTAAGATTTTATTTAATTTTCCCATTTCTTTTCATGTTCTTCAGGAGAGAAAAAACGTTGCCTGTTCCGCCTGATCACACGTTTGGAATGGTCTTACCACCGGATGATTTTGGTAAATTTTGTATAAAAATGTTCTCCCGCCTTACATACGGGAATATTTGGTGTGTCCTTAGAAAAAGCTTTTTCAGTTGAAGACAACAAATACTTCCTTTGCAGGCATTGGAGAGCTGATCTACTCCACAGGTCCACGGCAGTACACGAGAGGCCCAGACAGACAGCGCAGCCTGGTGAATGCAGTGAGGCATCACCTTAAGAAGGTCAACTTTGAAAACTTCCCCTCCTTGCTAAAGGCATTCAGACATTATGACAAGGTATGAATAGACTCACAACAGGTTGCCAACTTGTGTTTGATAAGTCAAAGTGCTGGTAGTAAGGAAGTCAAGCTGTTGGTTTTAAGATAAAGCCAGTGATGTGTGACTCTGTGGTAAGATGATTTTCAAAGTAATAGAGCTTTAATTCTCATTTTGCAGACTTGTGTCACACTTCTAAACACATACCGAAGTCTGTATGGGTTCAAAGGGTTGTTATTTATGAAACTAGAAACCAGTACCAAATATTTTGCCCATTGCCTACAGATTCTACATGTTCAAAATGTGTTTATAGGGATTATGAATC